GAGGAAGGGAGGGGGGGGAGGTGGGACGGGATGGGAGGAAAACTTGGTAGGCGGGCGGTGTGATAGAAGAAACGCATGCCGGTGCTCGGCTAGGTAGCTCGTGTGATTAAATTGATGCCAAGGGCCCCAAGGAATGCGTCCCTGACGAAGCCACTCGGGCGAAAAGAATAAAGGAGGACGCGTGCTCGCCCGCTCCAGCCGGTTTCAGCCCACTGGCACTGCAATTGACTATTTTTCCACATGCTTATCTTGATTTCACCCAGCATGCACACCTCTTTTCTCTTTATATTACATCACCAAAGACCATTTCTTCCTCTTCTTTCTCTCATTTTTTGCTCCCCAGAAGCCACTCTCCCTCCTCTCGATTCCACCATCCTCCCCCTAAGGCCCCTCACGATCAACATCACCCTCCTCCCTTTCAACCCGTCTCACACGCCAAGCGCATCTTTCGTAGGAACTCCCTCACACCCCTTCCCCCATTCCACCGCCAAAGGACTGCTCCCAGGAGCAACATACCGACTGTTCTCAAAACGCGCGTCGTCCGCGTCGCCCGCGCCAAGACTTGGCTGTAGTCCCAACGGACGTCTTGGCACATGAAAAACACGGGAGGGGCCAGTACCCAGGAGAATGCCTTGTGCAAGGCCGCCCGCAGGCCCACCCCCATGAGTTTCAGGCTCTTTTGGACGGGCAGCATGTGGTTGTACTGCTGCGGGAAGCCAATGGGGATCAACTCGCACACGGCTCGGCTCTGTGGGCCCCGGAGAGTCTCGTAGAGGGGCAAGGCTGCCGCCCAATCCCCTTCGGTCTTGTCGAGGCTGAAAATGAAGTCCAAGACGTCCAGCAGGGCAATGTTCACGCCCGCCCCCAGGTCAGGGGGGAAGGCGTGGATAGCATCCCCCATCAGCACCACCCCTCCTGCCCCCTGCCCTCCGTCCCGCCCTCCCAGCACCTGCTGAGCATCCAGGCAGTACTGTGGCCGCGGGAAAAAACCGCCGGAGGAGCGAGCGAACCGTTCCGCCTCCTCTGGAGAGACCATCTGGTCCACGTCACATTGCGGGAGCTCCCTTTTCAAAAATGCAATGACGTCTTGGCCCTTTTCCAGGCCGAAAATGTCAGCGGAGGGGGAGGCGATGATGTTCGCCGTGCGGGGTATGCCCTGCATCTTGAACGGGAGCAGGCCCAGGCGAAGGGGG